TTTTTTTCGCAGAAGGAACGCAATGGAATGAAGCACCGTAGAACACAATACAAAACATTACGATCTGCAAGAAGTATTTTAAAAAACGTAATTGATGATAACGTTAAGAATGTTAATGTATATAAACATTAACTTATGGATATGAATGTATATAAATCTTAATTTATTCATATTTTGTATAAAATACTGTAAATATAAAATTTTTATTTACCTTTACTTGTTGCTTTGCTTGTTCTTATGCAAACGTAATAATTTGCTTAGTTGCAATGCACACAGATATCTCTGAGCAAAGGTGAAATGTCATCTTCGGAGAACTGATATAATTTATATTCATATGTTAGAGTGAGCCACATGTCAAACTATTGATACAAATATTTTCTTTCCAAGTTCGAAAGCAGTATGCTCCTTGATCAAGGAATTTCAAATGGCGTCGGTGAGTTGCTGACTATTGTTTTCAACTGGTAAATTCGAGTTTTCAACAAACTCAATTATAAATTCTACAATTTCATTACCTCATTATCACTTTGCACGTGAAATTGAAGTATAGTCTTTTCCAAATGTAATTCGTTAATCTTAAAACTTAACTATCAAGCTACGGCAAGATCTTTTAATAAATATGGAGTGATTCATATTTATTTTTGTATTTGTTATCTTCAAGACATATTTGGACAACTTCAAAATTATTTATCTAAAAATGGTATATTGAAAACTAATTCCTCTGATTAGAATTCATATTTTATAAAATTATTATTATTATTATCATAAAGCGATTGTGCTACGATGTATTTATATATTTTAAAGTAAACCTGAATATTTTAACCATTTTTAAGGTATTTATATTAATAAAATAATATATAAATCGTTTTGTATATATAATTTATATCATAATAGAACGAAATCAAAACAAAATCATTCGCAGATGGATTGCAATAACAAATCCAAAAATGATAAAGATCCATCTCAACAAAATCATGAAGAACATACGGAAATCATTGTGCCATCTATATTAACAAGTTTAACAACAACTTTTCAAAGTACTGATGTAAGTTGATATGTTCTGATCACAGTAATAATATTCATGAATATAAATATTTTGCTTAATTTAAATTTAAATTTTATGATATACAACGTTGAATGCAATTTCAAGTTGATTTGTCTATTGCACAGCAGGTGGGTGAAATCACTGAAGATTATGAGAATTTTATTAGTACGTCGGCTGTACTTCATTATTGTAAACATAAAATATTGAGGCCATATTTGAGATTGTTGGGAGTAATGGGATTGAGACCAGTCAGTGGTGATGATTCCGATCATTTTTTACGATGTTCTATTTTAGCAAATTTTCATACTGTTCAAGTGACTATATTTATGTGTATTGGATATATTTTGCAGTATATGGCATGTTTCAGGTAATTTATTGTCTCTATACGTCTACACACAAATAAAAATTACTTGCTCGACAAATGTTTTATTTTCTATGATTATAATCTATTTTCTAGGATTATATAATTGCTTCAAATGTTTCTGCATATTGCAAGATTTCAATCTCTTGCTCTGTATATTATTTTAGCATTTGATTTATGAATGCTGCAATAAAATAGGCGATATCATCATTTTCAGAAGAGACCGTGGATTCTGTTATAAAACACCAATAGTAGAGCAAAAGGCGCTGGACGTCAGTGAAGAACGGGCGCAGGGAGAACCGTCTTGCTATGGAAATGTGATATTTAGCTATTTAATTCCAAGCGTACTGCACTTGGTAGCGTATTTGTATACAATATATCTATTTCGCGTGAAGGAAAACGAACAATTGCAGAATTTGATGGAAAGAGCTTTTTTGCTCTCTTCGAACCCGATAAATCGTGGCAATCAAAAGCGCCTCGTACACATACTGTGGTTGTTCATAGCGTTGAGCATAGTGTGGATGATTATGGCACTGGTTACAGTGAACATTCAAATGGCAGAAGGAAACATTATATTTCAATGGATGGAAAATAGGTAGAAAATGCATTATTAACGATTATGGACAATAGAAATTATGCAGAATAGAAAATATTACGGAAGACAAATGAATGAAAAGTAATTTGCTGGGTTTCATTCCGTGCAGCCCGTATCAGGTGAAGATAACGTTGAAAGTACTCCTAATCATCTGTACCTTATGGCATGACATGGTTCAGGGAACTATTATAACAAGCTACTGCCTGCAGGGACAATTATTGATGTCACATCTTTACTTTCTACGCGGAAAGTTGCTCCAGCATATTCTGCTACCCATCGATTGGATGAGGGTCTGAAAATTCATATATTGTGATAACTTTTTACTTTGTATTTAACAAAAGAGATCAACGTGTAGAGTATCAAAATTTAATTCGAGATAAAACGGGAGCACGGATGTACATGAGATAAAATCGATATCCTTTGCGCACCTTTTAACTTTTTTCAATTTGATTCCTCGTGAAAATATCAACTGAGAAATCTTCTACATGCACAAGAAGACAATTTAGAAATTGTTAAAAGTGAAACAAATATAATAATTTTATCGCATATACATCTGCATTTGTATTGGGTTTGAATCTTAAACTTTATAGTTTGGCTATAGACGAATCAAGTATTATTCTGATTATTCATTTAAATAAATTTATTAAATATTAATTTAAGAAATTTTCTTTTATTTGTGATTCACAGGACATCGATGAGTTTAAGAAACTGTTGAAATACTTCAATGATGAATTGGGCCCAGCTGTTTGTATTTACACAATAGTTAATTTGTCTTGGGCAGGCGCCGGTATCGTATGGTTGTTTCAATATTATATTAACGATGAGAACAACAATCCAGTTACTTATATTAATGTAATGAATGTTATATTATGGATTTTAATTTCGATCGTTCCATTCATACAGGTACATCACTACTGCGCTATGTCTCCAGAGAACACTATAATGTTCCAATGTCCATTTCTATAATATAGATTTAATCATAATATAAATTTAAAAAATTAAAAAAAAACTAAAAAATTAAAATTAACAGACTTGATAAAAATAAATCAAAGTCATCTTAAAGATGTCATGATGAAAATGTTAAAAAATGTTTTAAAAATATTTTTTAAACAAAAGGTTATTCAGATCATTTTTTTTTTCAGGCTGCTCGTTTAACGAATGCTTGTTCCATGATCCGAGCTGTAGGACATGAAATACGCATACGGCCGTTTGTGTATCAAACTACACCAGGCGAAGATCTTGATAGTATACTCTTGTATACATCTTCCTTAAAAATGTGCGCCAGATTATTTAGGATACCCATTAAAGGTAGATATTTATGTCTTTTGCTAACTATTGGTAGTATTTCTATTCTTACTTTAGGACAGTGCCAATTCTTCTCATAATTATTACATAGTATTTCAATCAAGGCTGTGCTGCATAATGCATCAGACATTTTTTAAGTATACAGTAATCCTGTATACTTATACAATCGTATTGTCCATAATTATATTAAGTTATTTAAATTTAATAATTTTTTACGAATGTTTATATTATAGAAATATAATCTGCATTCGTATATAATTGTAACGTATCAAAAAACGATATAATAACGATATAATAAAATTGGAAAAAAAAATGAAAATTTTATTATATATATTTTATTATATATTTATTATATAAATATATAATTTTATTATATATTTATTATAACAAACTCTTATGCAGCCATGTTAACTTCTGTTTGTTTCCATAATGATATTCCAATATTTTAATAAAAAACGGTGATCGAGAATAGATCAAGTATTGAAAAAGGTATTTTATTCACTCCTCATTATCATCCAATACATTACATTCTCCGGCAATGACAGTAATATTGCAACAGCCTGGAATTGTAATTCACATTTCATTAAAGTACTTGTAACATGTAAATCTACAAATATTTAATAAACATCTTTCTTACAGAGAAATTCTACATTCATTGCGTTTAGAAGCTATAAGTGTAAATGCAAAAATCACATTTTTAAAATAGCATCAATTGCACAATAGAAATAGATATATGAAAAAAGTATATGGTTACTTGCAACCTTGATGACTAAATAAATTCACAATTCAACAATACTGTCGAGTTTGCTTTTATTAAATCGATTTATGGGTTGATTTCAGTGACACGTAAATTTAAAAATTACTTTTGTAAATTTATTAAATGAGAATGGTTAGCGCTTTATCAAATTAGTATATTTTACATATAGTTGTCTTATATATATCATTAATTATATATTATATATATCATCAATTATATATATCATATACATGAATTTTTTTTTAAATCTTTGCCGAAATTCTTGGCAATGTTATAAAATAATGTTATAAAATATTTAATTTAAATTTGTAACATTTAAAACGAAATGTGAAATGAAATCGCAGTAATTATAAATAAAATAACGATTAATTATAACGGATAAATTGTCAAAACTATTGAATGAAAAATAATGATATCGAAGACATTACTATTACTGAAGAAGCTCTTTCAAATAATTATGAAAAATAAATTTTGTTCAGTTAATAAAATTGCATTCTTATTAATAAAACATAATCGTTTGCGACATCAGTAAATTTAAAAGATATCAGGAAATATTTGTACTTAATAAATATTGTGTTTTAATAAGAGAGTTCGTTATTCTAATATACATTCATAATTTCAGCATTTACAGGAATTACTTAATTTTTACTAAATATAGCGCATGATATTGACACTTTATGGTACTGCTTTCAGAGTATTAAATGTAGTAGCACCTGTGCATAGTGTTTCACCGATGAGTCTACTTAGTGATATTCGCGTACTTCTTAAATGTTTTTCATTGACAATATTATACATACCTAAATTTTGTAAAAAACGTTGGTATTACAATAAAGTTTACGATATACGAAGTAAGAAATATACACAGAAAATTAAAAACACTAATAGTATTTGTTAAAAAAAATTATAAATTATTGTAAATTCCGAATTTACAGACGTATTTTCGATATTCAATGATGTGGAATGTGAAAGTCGTGTATGGCTTTATCAATTTATTTAGATAACATATCTAACACAACGTATCAAAGAAGTACGTAATAATAACGTTCGATCTGAAATGACACAAGATGTGCAGTCTGTAAATCACTGGAAGTCAATGACAATTATCTTAAATATTACTCAATTTGAAAAAGTTGCATTAGTTCAATTCACTTATTCACAACTTTGATATCTCAAATCAGTTTTATAAATTGCACAAGTAAATCTTATATATCAAAATAGTTTTATTTCTAATCACAAGAGTTTCTGTGACAAACCCTGGATTAATTATTAAATGGTGATCAGGATCAAATGAAAAATTTTTTTCAGTCAAAAAATCTGAATAGAGGATACTGTAAATCATAATTAAGATAAGCTACTTACAATACAATCACTACCACTTAAACGCAATAAAAAAAGGAAATAGTATGAACGATGGTAATTGAAATATCGCGAGAGAGATATGAGATTTATAAACAGAAATTTCGTTAATTACAGAATATTATGATAAAAAGAAACGAATTGTTTTTAGTTGGACTATTTTTATGAGATGTTTCAGCTGCCTCTGGCTTCTATCGACGAAGGTCCTTCTCCTCGTTGAATTTTTAACCACTCGACAAATTCGTCAAGCATTACTGGCCCTAAGAGAAGCATATATTAATGGCATTACGCGCATAAGATAATATGTTATGTTTCTAATTAGAAACAACATAAACATTCCTCTAATGTACTTACACGCTCCGTCTAAATCATAATTAGATAAGTCATGATTGATTGTACGTGAAAATTCTAATATGTTGCACCATTGATCTTTATTGATCACTTTGTACTTTGATTGATCTAGGAACTGAGCAAACTGTGTAAACAATGGCCAATGTTTTCCCAAAAGCAGCTGTAACATCACTCTTGCCGTTTCCATGTCCATACTACGTTGATCTTTGTCCTGCAAAATTTAAGAATAATAATCAGAGAAATAACCGATGAAAGGTATCCAATAGTTATAACACTCGCACATGTATGTTCGATAATACGAATAACGTCGCACATACTCTGGCAAAGTCATAAGCATATCTGTAGATTCCCTTAAACGTATACGAATCATTTAATTGATTTCTTAGTTGTTCGAGCTTTTGTTGTATTTTACTAATCGAATCGCACTGAAGTTCCGTGAAGCCCTTCAGCCATTCACTCAATGTGAAGAAGCCCATTTGACGAGCGTTCATCCTGTATGCAAGAACAAGCATCACTACATTTTCAGGTTCTACACCAATATCTTCACAGAACTTTTCCATTCCTTCAGGTCCGAGAGTATCTGGGTCATCTGGTGATGTGTACTCTCTGAACCAAGCAATACAACGCTTTTGAGAAAATGTCGACACATTGGACACATCATCAGATTTTGTATATCGCCTGGCACTGTAAAAATATTATTTGTACATTGCAACAAACATTTCAAAATTATCTTCTTTCACAATCAATAACACATATTAAGAAATGAAAATCATTACATTAACTTAAAGCCATTTTATTATTGCTTTTGATGTCAATAAGCTTACTCCTTTCATAATATAATGGTAAAATACTATCAGTACACATGATTATGACAGATTATTACAAATGAATATGACAAATATCTATATATTGTTTTGTTATAAAAGATGATTCAAACCTAGAGGTATGTCTTAACCGTTTCGAAGGATGCCTAGGTAAACTCTCCTCATGTGCGCCAGATACTGACATATCAATGGGAGTGTGATTGTGATTTGTGCTGGAAGGCCCTCTTCGCTTGCTGCGTGGCATCCCTCTGTCCACTGGAATAAAAGTTTGCAATTTCATTCAAGTGCTCGAGAGAATTGCTTTCGAAAAAAATCTCTTGATAGCACAACAATAAATCTTCAATATCCTCCATATATAACACAAATATCTTAATACAATAAAGTTATAAAAAGGTAACTTTATTATATATAAATCTATCTTTGTAATATGATAGCATGAATCTTACAAAGAAATAAACATATATCTTCAAGCGTTTACAATCTAGAGAAAATTTATATCAAATCTGTTTATGTTAGTTTCCATATGACAAGATTGTTGACTTCACAGCTTGACTTTGGATCGACAGTTGCTGCGGAAACAAATGAAGCTTAGACCGAGCTTTGTAGAACGCAATACATTCGAAAACGATAAAGGACGATACTGGTTCGCGGACGATCGAAAATACAAGCGATAAATAGATGAGAAACAAACAGGATTCCTCGTAAAAGTAACGGAAAATAACAAACGTAATAAAAATAATACAAACATCGTATCACAAGCGTACAGCTGAATATGCAAGAATATATTCACAAATAACAATGATTTATTATGTATCTCCACAAAGTCGACGTCCACGTTACTGTCAGTTGCGCGCAATCGGGAAATCGTTGGCACTTTGAGAACCGAGTATCACGGCGGCGAGAAGCGTGAAACGGCGGAAATGCAAGACGCAAG